TTTGCTAGAAATAGCACTCTCAAATGTCACCTCACTGCATGCCAAACTGGAGTGGGAGCAAAAAAAGGGAGGAAGAAGCTTTACGAATGTCAGGTATGTGTGGCTATATTCTCTCAACAAAAGAATCTGTGTTTATAGTCATTAAAAGTGAAAGGTAGGGTCCCTGACTTAGCATGGTTCAACTTAGGATATTTCACCTTTACAATGATGTGAAAGTAATAAACGTTCAGTAGAAACGATTTCAAAATTTTGAATTTTGAACTTTTGCTGACCAAGTGACATGTAGCAGATGCTGTCTTGTGAATGTGGGCAGTATCAGTGAGCCACAGCTCCCAGTCAGCCATGCTGTCTCAAGGGTAAACAACAGCTTATACTGTTTAGTATACTGTTTTGCTGTCTGGTAGGTTAGGTTTATTAGGTACAGTTTTGACCTATGATGTTTCAAACTAATTATACCAAGATACAACTCCATTTTAAGTCAAGAAACACCTACAAATCTAAAGACCAAGTAAGGAGCTGATCATTTGGAAAGAATTGATAGTAAAGCCATTATGTTAATTTTACAAGGGAGAGTAGTTTGTCTTCAACCCTAGATGGCACCAATGTCAATAAAAATTATGTCCTAAATACTAGGTATTCTGAACTGTGACTATTCTTAACCATAGAGCAATCATTGAAATTTGGGAGCACAGGGAGGCAGACTAGCTTCTACGATTGCTGTTTTTATACCAAATACTGTAATGTAATGGTTCTAAATGTTGAAATTATGGGAGAAATTACAGTATAGTTACTTTATAGTTTAAGAATTTATATGATACTTAAATTATGAGGGCAATATTGAAGTGTTTCCCAGAGTGTTTTTAAGTTTGGTTTATGAAGGAGGCTGGGGATTTAGCTCAGTGGCGCTATGGCTGCCTCGCAAGCACAAGGTCTTGAGTTCAATCCCCGGTTCCACAAAAAAAAAAAAGATCAAGTTTGGTATATCAGCTAAAAGAGCAAATGAACCAAAGAAATACGAAATGGTTTGGACTAGATTATACTGTAATACAATTTC